CTAGAAAGTGTACAGTTTTGTTGCATGGCATCTGTTATTTTGTGAATTTTTAAAGAGAAAATACTGGAGAATCCAATCATCTTAAATGTTCAGCTCCATGATGAATCAGAAGATCAAAATAACAAATATCCTACAATCTGATTTGTGAAAATGTTTCTTTTAACGCATGACTACATTAATGCATCTCCATTAAACGGAGATGACTATCTTTAACTAGTACCATGATATATGCAAATTTAGTTACATTACATCAACTAACACATCAGAAACAATGCATTTTAATAATTATTCTTTCTAACAGAGACGTAAGCTATACATTTTATTCTGCGTACAAGTGATTTTAAATGTAGGAAATAGGAGGCTTTGCACTTCATGTTCTAAACGTCAAGTACACAGTGGGTTCCATTTAGATACGTACAAGACAATTCAAAACTGTAAAGTGTTTACAATTCCTTTGTAGAACCTACTCTCCCAAAAACAAAACACAAACAGAGATATGTTGTGTGATGTGTCTCTGTTGTTAATGCTGTGATTTCGTATTAACTAATATTTTATTGATAAATGAATGGTCAAAAGTAATGATAAATAATAATAATCAAAACAAACATTCCTTAAAGTCTGTGTTTTATAGTTTTAAAAACAAGATGCATTTAGACCTTTACAATTTTATCTAGAGTGTATCGCAGACCACATCCTGAAGCAGTTTCTGAGTTTTTATATCCATCTCTGAGGTGTATTGGAGGACAATCACACCTGTCTACCATATTGGATAGTTATTCGATGAGAATAATAAAAAAAAAAAACACACACACATAAAGTGACCAGATGTAAACAGACGCTGATAGTCTCTTTTCCTGTTTACTGCCATAGAAGCGGCATTAGTCATTATGCTTTTCAGGCTAAAGGTTTCAGGCTTGTCTTTATTGGCTATTGGAATGAGTGTGTTAATGGCCTTGAGAGTGAGGAGCTTGTGTATTTGTGAGTATTTGAATTCACAAACAATGTATTGTTTTGTTTGTTATTTAACTCAATTTTATTGTTTTTTTTTCACTTAAACAATGATCTGTAGAGCTCAGATCACTTACCAAAAAGAGAAAAAGTCTACTAATTAAAAGCAAACAAGTCTACAAAATATCTTTCCCCTAAATAAAGCAAGTTACTTTTGTAGTAAAAATGTGATAAAAGGTTAACCTTACTGCAAAGGCGTCAAATCCATGCCTGCTTTTTAATTTTTTAAACTATGACTGTGATTGTGGATGGTGGTTCAGTGAATGATGATGTGTCTGTGTAATTAACAACAATGGTTCTCAATCCTGGTCCTTGCGAGCCCATTTTACCAAGTGGACATCATGGGATTTAGTATGCTGCTATGATTCCAGTTCAAAAGTGCAATCAAATTAAGCGTGTTCAATATAAAGGGTAAAGTGTGCAAGACGTGACCTACGAATGACAAGTGCATGGTTAAATAACCCTTTACAGTTTTGTAGTCATTGAAAATGCTACAAATAGAGGTTTAGTGCAATATTTTTTTAATTAAGTAAACTTCAACTTTAGCTGTTTTCCCATGTCCAGGGGTAAAGAACAGTGAACTCTAGAGCTGCGTCTGAAATCGCTTACTACTTGAGTATACAGTATACTACATTTGAATTTACAACACAATTGTTAAAAACGTATGTTTAATACAGTATGAATATGAAGAGTGTGTATGGAGCTCAGATGTATTACATCCAGCATTTGTCATTATCCCATGACCACACATCAGTTGAGTCACTTAAATTCCATTAATGAACTCTCTCAAGTGGCATCATGGGATATCACAGGATCCATCTGATGTGCACTTTAGAATCATGCAGAAAGTAGGTCATCCGGGTTCTTCTTGCATATTGCTTATCAAATACTATGAATTTAGACATTCTGCATGGCTCACATACTGCTATTAGCGTACTATATAGTATAAAAGTATGTGATTCTTTTAATGAGCTGGTTATATGAATCACATGTGCTAAACAAGAACAAAGTATGCACATTACGAGGACAAGGGCTGCATCTAACTTAGCACCCGAGATAATTCGTGGAGTTTATAAACAACAGCAGAACTTATCATTTTCATATTAATTTTACAATATTTAAAAAAAAATTAATTATTGCTAAATTGATCATTTCATATACCAGCAACATATCAACCATTTAACAATTATAAATGTTTGCTAGGTTTTTCCTAAACTGTCTAGCTACAGTATGTTTATTCATGTTATAAATAAATAAATAAATGCTTTAAATAAAAAAATGCTTTAAAGAAAGAAACAAAAAAAATGTTGTCTATTTTTTATCTGAAAAAAGGTGATCTCATGATAATGGTAACATTTGTAATTTCAAATTTGGAAAATGTTCCAAACCGTGGCTCAAATTATTTTTATTAATGTGTATGTGTGTGACAACAAACAAGTATGTAATATGTCTGGTTACTGCATTTTTCAATCCAAGCTCATTGAGGGTATATACCCAGGTCTACATTTATGTGAATTGTGAAATATGTACCCAGAGCCATCTCTTCTTGCAGTTTTTGTTTTTGCAAATTCACCAGAAGCTGCTGTGTACATTTTTGATGTCCTCAAATTTCTTTCATATGACATTTTCACATCCACTTCTTGTATAAATCCACCAGAGGCTGCACTATGCCTTTCAGCCAATCAGCTTGCTGTCAACTGACTGACTGACCCACCCAGCCACTGTCTTCCCTAAAACCAACTGATAGTGTTTTCAAAAGCAATATACAAAGGAAAAGCCAATGTGGCTGTTATTATTTATTTTTGCATTTGTTTTACCTGGTTTCTAGAACCATTTTTCACCAGACCCAAACCCTGTTATTTTCTGCTCAGCTCCACATAAGTCCACATACCAAGTCCATTGGCATACATGGTAACTGAGCAAACTGGTAACACCAGAAAAGCCGGCCATACGGAGGTTTGCTGAAAGTGGTAAGCGGTAGTGCAAAAGAAGAACAGAAGCTGTCATACACACAAAATCCAGCCAAACGTAGCCTCAGGTATATATTTGTGGTTTCCCAGAAATGTAGACCTGGGTATGTATCCACAAATAGCCTTTGTTGGCATTTTTATATTCAGTAATATTCCTCAAAATGAGATAATAGTCATATATTATACTTATGTGGATTCAAAATCATAGCAACGTTTACAAAAAGTTTTGAGAAGCCAGGGTTTTCAAGAAAGCACATTGCATGGAAATTACTCCTATATTTCCAAATGTTTCATGAAGGACACCCAATGTGTGTGAATGCTAAGGGTGTAACAAAACGCGTATTCATATTTAGACTAAAATCTAAAAAGATAAAAGAGAATAAGTGTACAAAATGTATTCAGTTCAACAGTGCTCCACAAGGCATCCCAAATGACGCGACAGGCAATATGCTGCCTTGCCCGCCCACCTCGAAACACTACTCCAGTCAGGCAAACGCTGCACTAACTTGCAAAATGGCTAGTAATGGTAGTATAATCCTCCTATAACCAACAGCGGGTCTGGTGTTTGGGAGAACTTTGGTTTCCTTGTAAGTTATGAGGGGTGATGACAAGAAAGTGGTGGAAAAAAAACAATGACATCTGGTATGACAGTATATGACAGTAAGCATGTCGACTCGTTTACACTGACATCATGGAATCAGTAACTGGAATTAGACGAAAACAGCCAAAATTTTATCTATGCGACCTCAAAATATATTTGGGAGCATTTGTGCAAGTGCATAAAATTGATGTTGTGCGACTAGTTTTCACAGCAAAAATGTTTACCACATACATGAAATTAGAAGGTATTCACGCATTAAGCATATTTGCAGCTAAAAACAGCAAACGCAGCACTCAGAAATAGTTTAAAACAGTTGACATGTCAACTTGCTGCAGTAAACAAAGCCCGCAATGCTTGCCCCACCTACAAGCTCTTCTTAATGGCCCACTGCGATAGAACAGAACGCAAATGGATTGGTTGTTGTCGCGCGCATACTGAAGAGCAGTGTGGTCGCTCACGTTCTGATCAGCTGTGTTGTTGCGCGCGTACTGTAAAGCGGGGGGAGGGGGGTGGGTTGCGCGTGAGCACTCAAGTGCTAAAGAGCATGCATTCACCAAGATAAAACTAATATTGCAGCACATGAAAAGACTGTTACTTCTACTAAGGTGACGCATACACATAATAAGTTATGTCAACATTATCTGTGCAATATCAGACAGCACCCGTGAGAACAGCACAGTTATTATTGTTAATTCAGTTTATTTCATTCACATCAAGCAGTGCGTGCAGGGCCGGTGAGCACATGCAGATTTTTGTTTATTTGTTAGTTGTGATTAGAGGGTAAATATATTATAAAATCTGTTAATATAAAACATGTAGTAATGGTGCTCATAATTTTTGGTAGGTGCAACTAAATTTTGTCTGGTGCGCCTAATTTTTGAAGTTAGGAGCACCGGTGCAACCAAGAAAAAAGGTTCATTTCGAGCTCTGTGAGAACTTAATCTGAAGTGGAAATTTTGGGTTTTAAGAAAATGTTAAATGTAATAGAGTCCCGTTACATTATTCCTTCATAAGCCCTTAATTACTGTGCTTTCAGATCCACTAAAATGGAAGGTGAGAGTCAAATCAAGCAGATCTGTGCTGTCTGAAGTAAAAGGTGGACACTCATCTTTCTGAAACTAAAAAAATACTTTAAAATTTATTAATATTAAGTTCCATATAAAAACTAAATTGTTCTTTTCTTTTTATTTATTTAACTACTACAATATTACTACTATTATTTTTTTATAAGCAGCTTTTTGACTTTAAGTATAAAGAAAGATTTTTTTTTTTTTTTTGCTGCTAAGCAGAAACCCCAGAAGTACAGTATAGCACTATCACTGTTTAAAGTAAAAAAAAAAAAAAAAAAAAAAAAAAAAAAAAAAAAAAAACAAGATCATACTTTTATGATGTTAGTTTTAATACATTTAAATCAGGGAAATCCTCTGGCTTTTTTTTTTTTTTTTTTTGCTGTATCTTATCGAACTAAACCATGACTTCTTTGAACCGTTACATCCCTAGTAAATGCATAATTCAGCAAAGTAGCACTTCATTATTTCCACTTATTTGTGGTAGCCTCAATTGTTTAGTTTAATTATGTTGGGGCATTTTTCCCTCTTGTAATTTCTTGTTAATTTTTGGTGCCATTTTTTTTCTACAAATTCCTTATGCAAACATCTCAACTGGAATCCTTAAGTAGTCCAGAAAGTTTCAAAGTTCTGTCAACATTTGGTATCAGATCTTTTTCAAAGTCCCAGACTCTTTTGTCTATGAAGAGTTCCTCTTTGGTCAGACTCCCCTGCAGTGGTTCTCTCACATGCACAATCCTACATACATTAAATGGAACATGGTAACTCTCTCCAAAAATCATCAAGGAGGAATGCACTGATGTCTGCTCCACCTTCCTTGGGTTGACAATCATCTTTGCGGGATTGTAAACATTCTTACGTTCAGGTTCTCTGTAAATGTGCTCCATGATATTGATTCCAGCAATATTTTTCCATTCTTTTCGCTTGAACTTCCCGCTGTCCTCAAATTGTGTTTTGGGGAATACGTGGTTCTCTATGATGAATACTCCTTTACTGGGATCAGCAGACTGGAGGTCCTCCATAAGAGACTGTAAATTTGAGTATTTGTATGGCATGATGATCTCATCGATGTCATTTAGAAGAACATATCTGGATTGATACATGTGCCTGTAGATGCACTCGTTAAGTGTTACTAACTGACCATAATAATGAAGATCGCCTTTGTGTTCCTGAAAATTCCAGCCTGAGGAGGCATTCAGAAACTTGTCGATAGGCCACGAAACAATCTCCAATAACCCTTCTGATTCATAATGTTTTAGAAGCTTCTTCAAGTCTGGACCAGAGCTGGTTTTATAGATGACCACATGCTGTATGCCCAGAAGTTTGTACATCTCCATAGTTTGAGCAAACTGCAGTATGTTGTTGTAGCTTCCAAAAAGGTTGGAGATGCAAACAGTGAAGTTATACTTGAAATTGTCTGTTACCACATTATTTTTGATCAGCAGATAGTCAATCTTGAGGTTGTATGAATTTTTTGTTGGATGAGTTGTTATGAGAACATGTGATGCACTTTGCATGTTCTTGCCTTTACAAATCACATCTGAGACATGAAAAGGAAAGCCAAAATGGTCGGCGTGTATCTGGACCTCAGTCTCAACAGTTTCGCAGACATGTTCGGGGGTACAGTAAACACAGTAAAGTGGCTGCAGGTTGTTTCTTTTTATTATGCTGATGACTCGAATGGCCCCGTCCAGTCTGTGGTCAATAAAGGCAGAAACCATGAAATGCTCAGAGTCTTTAATGGGCGTTATTAAATGTGAATCCTCTTGGATTTTGATTGTATTCTTTTTTAGATGAGTTGTTATCGTTAGAGTATCCTTGTGTTTCAAAACCAATGTGCTAAAAATAGTGGCCATACATGATAGTAGAAGAAGCACTGTAAATTTGTTTTTGCTTTCCATCTTCAGCTTCTGTGAAGTAAAGCATACAAACACATATAAAACACACAGCGATGACATTTGTAAACAATCTTTAACTTTGGTTAACAAAATTTGAGTTATTGAATTTAACTTGACTTTTTCCATTAATCATCAAACCATTTTTTGTTTATTAATAAATCAAACACGTTTAAACACAACAGTACTGTTATAACCAAGCACCTTAAAGAAAGTATGCATTAATGCACTCATTTGAAGTTGCTTAGGTGATGTCAGGTTCTTATAACAAAATTTACAATGATTAATATTATTTTCATGTACTTTTGAGTAGGGAATATTAGCAAGTAGCAAGGAATATAGGCAAGTTATTTTTAGGTTCCCTCTCAGTCGATCACTACAAGTTTATGTTGAGTTGATCGACTAGGGGATTAATTCGAAGCATCAATCATTATGATTTGTATAAAAATGGGTCAGTAGAATGCATATGAAATTGGCGAGCATGGCTCTCACAGGTGTAGCCACTCTGCAACTAGGAGTTTAAAAGACTGCCTGTGACAAGAGCTCATTAAACTTCACTTCAGAGCCTCACTCGCAGATGAGGTGAGAAGATCTACTCTGTTCCCGCTATAGAGCTGGGAACCATAACTGCCCTCAACCACGGGCTGGCAGCACCCCAATCCTCCTTAAACAAGCAATTTCCTCTTTCTCTGGATGTGCAGTTTCAGGTGTGGCAGGTAAGGGACTTGCTGCCTTCCAGCCCACAGCACCAAAAAATATTGCCAGTAGCCATAAGACCACCTGTGGGATCCTTGCTCCTGGGCTCCCCACCTCAGTGTGGTCCAGCTGATATGGGAAAATTTCAGGGAAGCCCATGTCAACCTGTTTGCCTCAGACCACCCATTGCAACAATTTTATTCCCTGGCCGAGGGCAAAGATCCTCTGGCCCACAGCTGGCCCCAGGGCATCCGCATTGGTCCAACCGGATCTGGTTCATAGAACTCAATCTTTGCAATGGCTCCTTCCTGTCGGACTGCTAAGGAAGGACCTTCTTTCTCAGGGACAGGGAGCAATCTGGCAGTCGCATCCTGCACTCTGGAACCTCCATGTGTGGTCTATAAACATGACGCGGAAGACTTGGGTAACCTGCCGGCTTCGGTGGTTAACAATAACCAAGGCTAAAGCCCCCTCTATGAGGCAGGCCTGTGCCCTGAAGTGGATTCTATTCGTTGAGTGACGCACTTATTGCAAAGAAGCTTCCCAAACTTGCCCAATCTGTGTCAAGCTTTCTTTCCTTCAGGTTAAGTTGACTAAAGGCTTATGTTACGACCATTTCTGTTTACCATGAGTTGGTGAACAGTAGGGAAGCATGACCTGGTCATCCGGTTCCTCAGAGGCACTAGACGGCTCATTCCGCCTTTTGCTCCTCTCATACCTTCTTGGGAACTCTCCGTAGACATCCATTCAAACCATTCAACTCAGTATCTTTTAAGAACCTGTTGCTTAAGACAGCTTGTTCAAGAGGATCGGGGATCCTTTGAGGTATTTTCGGTCAATGAACTCTAATGTTAACCTAAGACTCAGGCCCGACTACCGAAACTATTTCCCTATCAAGGTAATTAGAGCCAGAGACTTGGATGGTTACACCTTTAGTGGTGCTTGATGTTCACGCTACCCGCTTGACACTCTGCACCGAAAACTGCCAGACATGTTCAGCTGCTGTGGGGCTTAGGATATGCTCCCCTTGTTTATCAACTCAACATAAACTCGTAGTGATTGAGGGGGAACGTCTTGGTTACATACGTAATCCTTGTTACCTAAAGGAGGGAACGGAGACATTTATGTCCCCCTGCCACAGGAGTTGAATCAACCGTTGCTGAATGCAGGTGAGTTCGGTTTTTCAGCGAGTCTATTGAGCTTCTCTTACAGGTCTTTTATACTCCTAATTTTAGAATGGTTTCATCTGTGAAAGTCGTGCTCGCCAATCTTATATGCATTCTGTTTTTTATATAAATCAGAGTAACTAGTACAGTATAAGAGTCAAGTAAGTTATTTTGTTTCTCATAGCAAATATGGAATTAAATGTAGTCCTTTTCCTTACTTATTTCAAAATTTTTCTTTTTTTATAGTGATGCTTTTAAGAGCAATTTTACATTGTGTTCTTTTGGTCAGCTAACTATGAAAGTTTCCACTGTCATAAAACTAGAAAGAACTACTATGGTATGATTTACGTATTCTCCAAGCCTCTGTTAAAGCAGTGAAATCAACGTGTCCATATGTCCTTTTGCACAGGAAAGTCTCTTTTTGAGACAAAAAATGTCGGGAAGGAACTTCTATAGCTTTAGTTGAAATTTTCTATAGCTTTAGTTATAAATTTTAGTTGGAAGTACATAAATGTATTGAAATAAAATTCTCAACAAATTCCAGTTTATGTGGGCTTGAAGCCTGATTTACTTCTGAGTCCAGTGATTGGCATATCATGGCACATACCTTGCATGTAGCCATCGCCTTTGTGAGTCAATTTACTTCTGCATTGTATGTGTGCTGCTCAGGCGATAACATCTCTGAAACAGCAGGTAGTGGGTAGAGTATAATTATTATTATTTTGAATATATTAAGTTTTTAATTAACTCGTTAATTTTATTGACTGAAAACCAGATAATCAAATAAGCATACTCTTGTTTTACACAGTTCCTCAGGTCACACAATTACTAATATACAATTATATGTCAAACAATGCCCAAGAATTCTAAATAATATTTGCTCTAGAAAATGTAGAACAAGATATTTTGATTATTTAGGTGGCAAAAAAACACAGCCTCCCATTCCAAAACATTCCAAAGGTGATGTATTTGACTAAAATCTGGTGAGGACATTTAGGTATAGTGAAGTTACTGTTAATGTTGCAGTTAATGTTCAAGACACATGTTTGAGATGATCTAGGCTTAAAAGGGTGCATTATTCTTCTAGAGGTTGCCAAAACAAGATGGTCATAAAGGGATAGCTTTGGTTAGTGTGTGATGTTGATAAGTATGCAAGGTTACAATTCTGAAAGGTCACAAAGCTGGAACTCTACTCCACAGGGAGATATTATGATAAAACATTTTTCAGCAAACAGCAAAAGCATACAGTAAATGTCTAATTTGTAATAAAGTATTTTCTGGAAATTGTAAATTCAACCATTACTCATTATGAAGGATACCAACACAAATGAATAATGTCATATTCACTATAACAACATACACGATCAGGCAGTTGAACGGCTGGTCTAGCAGCAATGTAGTTGGTGTAGAAAGAGTTTAGCCAAAAGGCAAAGCTTGAGATTTACTCGTCAATCTACATTCCGACACATATAGGGTTGTGATTTTTGGGTCCCAACAAAAATGACAAGAGGTCAGGTACAAACAAACAAACAAACAAACAAAATAACTTTCCTTCAAAGGGTAACAGGGTGCATGAAGGCTTGAAGGAGAACGATTCTTCCTCCACAAAAAAGTCAGTCAAGGTGGCTCAGGCCTGCATTCATATCTCTTTCTCTGTTTGTTGTTATCACAATTTTTAATTTGCTACTCCTTTCTTGTATGACTGAACATGGCTGTTTTTCAGTATGTACATACATGTATACATACATACATACATACATGTATATATGTTTGTATGTATATACATATTAGGGATGTACGATATATCGGAGGCCATATCGTTATCGGCCGATAAATGCTATATTTAAGATTATCGTTATCTATCCGATGTCTAAATTAAGCCGATATCTTTAAGCCGATAAATTACGTAATTGTGGCCGCGCATGCGTGGGCGGAACATGTTCAGACTTGTTCATGAATCTCTCCTCACACTAATTATTCCTTCAAAGTCCGTCATTTCCTCACAGGGTATTGCTGTGTGTTGATAACTCCGTAAGTAATCATTATCCTTATCATTGTAGATAGGTTTGATTGAGTGCCATTGTGTATTTTGCTTCAAATCGCCTCAGGAAAAAATATTACATATGAAAGCTTTTCTTGCTCTGTCTATTTGTTGTGTTAGAGATAGCAGGGAGATTTACTTATTTTTCCAGGGCCGAATAATATTAGTTTCGGAGTTAATTCTTTTAGTTGCAGCCGGAGAATGAACGAGGACCCGAAAAAAGCGCTCCTCTTTTCTGTTTCTCCCTCTTCGCTTCACACACACACACCAAACTGACCTGCACACATGATGCGCTAAACAAAAACTTTACGGGTTTTTAATCTAATATAATTATTTGTTATTATCAACGCGTTTCTTGATGCTCATTTCGGTTAATTTTGCTAACCGACAACCGCCGCTCATTAATCGGTTACTAACGGTTAACTGGTCAGATTACTATTAATTTTATATTAAACAAATTGACGTGTCTATTTTGTGTCTGACACATTAAATATTGCATTTTAAAATACTGATTTATTTTCATATGCTATATAAAATAAATAGGACTGCCCTAAATTATTTTCACTTAAATAATTAATTTATATTACAAACAAAAATACTGACTGATTCTTTTTAATAATCGGCATAGCCTGCTTTTTTTCCAATCATATGTTTTTTCTTCCGTCAAATAAAAATCGCTGACTTCCTCAAATTGCTTGCTCCACGGAAAATATGCCTTTATTTAATGCCCCACTGTTATTATTATAAATCACAAGATCTTTTTACATTTTTAATAGAAATCATTATTTTAAAGATTATGTCTTGCTATATGGTTTCCTCTCCCTTGCGGTTCAAGTGCGCGCTGCGTGATAAAAAAACAACAATGCGCGCATATGTTGACTTTTTGTAAACAGTTTTGTTGTTTAAATATGATATTGCATTAATGTGCATGAATGCTTTATAAGCTGTAAAATAAAAGGTAAAGCCTATTTGTTGCGTTTATGACGCAGATCCAGGTCAACATCAGCGCTGGTTTGGCATCACCACGTCTGTTAAACAGCAATATTCTTCTTCCATTTTGCTTTTTTGGCAAATGTGTCTGTAGGCATGGGTTATACGTTATCATCCCGCAAATTAAATATGTCTTGCAGTTGAACAAGGGGCCGAAAACAAGGCGCATCTCACTGCATGCCTTTATGTTGACAAGGAAAAAAGAAGAGAAGAAGCGCGGTCCTCTTATGAAACGACTGAATCAGCTGGGTATCGATTGTGCAAAAGTGTTGCTGTCTGTGTTGTTACAATTGTAATATTTAATAATATTGTGATATTCAAGATTTGTACATTCATACAGCTCTGGATAACTTAAAACAGCGATTAGACCTTCAGAACGGTGTTAATGCGTCCTGAAGTAAAGCGAAACGGCTATAAACTCCAGCAAGATAGAGTGATTATATACAGAGCCATAAACCTTTATCTATAAAAAAAAGTATAACTATAGAAACTGTTTTCATCTTAACTGAATGCTTCGTCGAGTTTGCTGGCCTCACGCATCGCGCACCTGTCAGTCAGTCAGTCAGCACGTAACGCCAAAGGGTTAAACAGATAGCGCACAGCACTATACGGTTACAGAAAAGCTTGCGCTGTTATGATTGTATCAAAATCCGAGGGCAAATCTGCGCCCTCACAGCGGTTTATTATGAACTTTTTATCGATCATTTTCCCCACGATTGACAGCAAGAACGAACACAGAAGCGTTGATACTACATGTGTTTAAAAGAAGTTAAAGCGCCAAAAAGGATGAATTTAAGTCACTTTTTTAAAAATAATACATTCTGTATATAGCTTATCACTTGTACTGTGGCTCTGAACTGTCAAAACACCTCTAAAAAAATGCTTTTTCGGACGTGACATATTTGTACACATGTACATTACTGTAACCCATTTTATTCAAGAACATTTGAGCTGGTTTTAGTCCTTAGCTTTTTAATTTTCATCTTATTTACAATATATTTAACTTGCTTGTTAATTAAATCCCATTTCGTTATTTAACCTTTTTAATTTTATGCAACAGTCAATTTGCATGTTAATTTGCTATGAAGAAAATGAAATAATGTATTTTTGGCATGCTCATTTGTGTGAAATCGTGAATATAGGTTATATATAATTGAATATATAATTTTAAAACCATAGCTTTTTTGCTTTGAGTATAGGCTATTCAGTTCAAAAGAGCGGAGTTTCAGCTTTTATGAAGTTTGCTGTATAAAAATATAACATTTTGAAATATTTATAATTATCGGCCTATATATATCGGCTATCGGCCTCCAAGTCTGAAGAATTATCGGTATCGGCCAAAAAATCCATATTGGTGCATCCCTAATACATACATACATACATATATGTACTTATATATATATATATATATATATATATA